GATGTGCTTATAGCGTGGTGCTAACATTGATGAGTTGACAGTGTGGTGCTAACATTAATGGGCTTTCTTTGTGGTGCTAACATTGATGTGCTTACAATGTACTGTTTGTTCTTTAATCTTTGGGCTGTTTGTTGTTGTTTTTTTTCATTAAAATTCTCTTACCAAATGTTTTTCTTTGTTCTTCCTGTGATTATGCCCGTGCCAACGTTCCAATGTTTTATATACATGTCTTTGAACGATTCTTAACTAAAAGATGAATATGATATAATTGCTTTCCGAATGTAACTCTTTTGAAAACAATCTCAGACACTCTAGGAATTAAAATAGGGGAAAACAGGAGAATAGTCGGAGACGGTTGCTTATTTATTTTGGACGCTTCTGTTATTTCTAAACAAGAGAATTTTCTTGTGTATAGATCAGCCAAAGTAATCTTTGTAGATTCTATTCCTACCTATATTTTTACCTAATTCAGATTGTGGAAGGCCAGTGATTCTGCATATCTTCAAAAACTGATTTCTCAACATGTATGCATACAGAACCTGCGCTCTTCAACACAGTCCTTACTGAGAGTTACCATTGTGGATTGACAAAAAGTCATCTTTAAAAAGGTTGCATGTCATAATAGTCTGAATGGCATCATTTTCTAAAAGTCATGATTGACTGATTGTCATGATCGTATGATTGTCATGATTGTATGATTGTTATCATCGTATTTTTGTCGTGATTGTCTAAATTTCGTGATTGTCTCTGTCTGATTGTCGTAATTGTCTGATTATCATGATTGTCATGATCGTATGATTGTCGTGATTATCTGATTGTCCTGATCGTATGATTGTAGTGATTGTCGGATTATCATGATTGTCTTATTGTCTAAATGTGACGATCGTATGATTGTCGTGACTGTCTGATTGTCATGATCTTATTGCATGTCATGATCATCTGATTATCATGATATTATGCACGGCATGATCTTCTGCATTTTATGATCGTCTCCATGTCATGGTATTATGCATATCATGATCTTCTACATGTCATGATCTTCTGAATGTCACAACTTCTGATTGTCAGGATCCTCTGCATATCATGATCTTCTGCATGTCATGACCGTATGTATTTCATGATCTTATCGATGTTAGGATCGTTTGCTTGCTGTGATCGTCTGATTGTCATGATCTTCTGATTGTCATGATCTTTAACTTTCGACAGATCAGCTTTTTTCTTAATTTTTTAACTCTCTTATTTTCTTTTCATCTGGTTCCTTTGTTCGCGAGAAAGTTTTTTCACTTAAATAATGTGTTGTGTAGTTGTAAATTTGTTGTTTATTTTATAAATTTTTTGTTTGGCTGTAAATTTTTTGTTTTGCTGTAAATTTGTTGTAAGGTTGTAAATTCGTAATTTAGTTGTTAATTTGTCAATTAGTTGTAATTTTTTTTGTTTGGCTGTAAATATCTTGTAAGGGTGTAAATTCTTAGTTTAGTTTTTAATTTGTTTTTTAGTTGTAAATTTGTTGTTTGGCTGTAAATTTGTTGTTAGGTTGTAAATTCGTAGTTTAGTTGTTAATTTGTTTTTTAGTTGTAAATTTGTTTTCGGTTTTTTTTTTTTTATTTTTTTTTTATTTGTAAATGTGTTGTTTAGTTTTTTATTTGTCCAGTTTTAATGTATCCACCTTTGATGAGAACCATTGATGAGAACCGTTGATGAGAACCTTTGGTGAGAACCTTTGAAGAGGGCATTTGATGAGAACCTTTGATGAGAACCTTTGATGAAAACCTTTGATGAGAACCTTTGATGAGAAACTTTGGTGAGAACCTTTGATGAGAAACTTTGATGAGAACCTATGATGAGAACCTTTGATGAGAACCTTTGATGAGAACCTTTGATGAGAACCTTTGATGAGAACCTTTGATGAGAAACTTTGATGAGAACTTTTGATGAGAACCTTTGATGAGAACCTTTGATGAGAACCTTTGATGAGAACCTTTGATGAGAACCTTTGATGAGAACCTTTGATGAGAACCTTTGATGAGAACCTTTGATGAGAAACTTTGATGAGAACCTTTGATGAGAACCTTTGATGAGAACCTTTCATGAGAACCTTTGATGAGAACCTTTGATGAGAACCTTTGATGAGAACCTTTGATGAGAACCTTTGATGAGAACCTTTGATGAGAACCTTTGATGAGAACCTTTGGTGAGAAACTTTAATGAGAAACTTTGATGAGAACCTTTAGTGAGAACCTTTGATAAGAACCTTTGATGAGAACCTTTGATGAGAACCTTTGATGAGAACCTTTGATGAGAACCTTTGATGAGAACCTTTGATGAGAACCTTTGATGAGAACCTTTGATGAGAACCTTTGGTGAGAACCTTTGATGAGAACCTTTGATGAGAACCTTTGATGAGAAACTTTGATGAGAACCTTTGGTGAGAACCTTTGATGAGAACCTTTGATGAGAACCTTTGATGAGAACCTTTGATGAGAACCTTTGATGAGAACCTTTGATGAGAACCTTTGATGAGAACCTTTGATGAGAACCTTTGATGAGAACCTTTGATGAGAACCTTTGATGAGAACCTTTGATGAGAACCTTTGATGAGAACCTTTGATGAGAACCTTTGATGAGAACCTTTGATGAGAACCTTTGATGAGAACCTTTGATGAGAACCTTTGATGAGAACCTTTGGTGAGAACCTTTGATGAGAACCTTTGATGAGAACCTTTGATGAGAACCTTTGATGAGAACCTTTAATGAGAACCTTTGATGAGAACCTTTGATGAGAACCTTTGATGAGAAACTTTGATGAGAAACTTTGATGAGAACCTTTGATGAGAACCTTTGATGAGAACCTTTGATGAGAACCTTTGATGAGAACCTTTGATGAGAACCTTTGATGAGAACCTTTGATGAGAACCTTTAATGATAACCTTTGATGAGAACCTTTGGTGAGAAACTTTGATGAGAAACTTTGATGAGAACCTTTGATGAGAGCCGCGCTTGTTTTGGTGGCTTTTTTTCCTCCTTACATTAATTTAAGAGCTTGGTGGCATTAAAAGGGTACCATCATGGCAGGGTGCCATCAGAGCTGAGTACCATCATAGTAGGGTGCCATCAGAGTAGGGTACCATCAGAAAAGGGTGCCATAATAATAATAATAGTACGTATTTGAAAAAAAAATGGCTCATCCGCAAAAGTTTGAAGTGCGGTACGAAGTCCACCATCTTAAAAAATGAGAAATAAAGACAATCAATAATTTACCACTTATAAAAACAAACGCAACAATATTTAAACTACATACGACCAAGTCAAAGTCTTTCATCCCTTTCAACCACAAACAACACACGCCAATATATAGTAACTGGAAAAAGATGGTAGACAAACATCACCCCCAGAAGGTGTTTGCGAAATAGATGTGTTTTTAAATCAGTTTTAAAAGACTCCAGTGTCTGGCTGTTTCTGAGAGTGACAGGAAGGACGTTCCAAATTGTTGGGCCATCAAATGTGAAAGTGCGCTTTCCGTAATTCTCAAGGCGAACACCTGGTATCGATATTTTGCCACTATCGGATGAGCAGAGCTGTCATTTGGGTACATAAGGTCATGAGAATATATTGTAAATGGAACAGGGTGCCATCAGAGCAGTTTTTATCAGAGCAGGGTGCCATCAGAGCAGGTTTCCATCAAAGCCGGGTGTCATTAGAACAGGGTGTCATCAGAGCAGGGTGCTAACTTAGTAGGATTCCACAAGAGAAGGGTGTCACAGGAGCAGGTTTCCATCAGAAGACTCAGGGGCGGTCGATGGGGAAGTCTGGAAGAGTGAATACAATGGCAAGAGCGAAGTCCTGGAGGGTGAAGACAACAACAGGGGAGAAGTCTTGGAGGGTTGCAGACAATGGCAAAGAAGAAGGCTTGGATAAGGTGTACACAATGGGAGAGGAGAAGACTTGCTCGAGGTGAAGACGATCGCAGGGGAGGCAATTAAGAAGGAGATTGCAGCAATGTTTGAGTCTCTTCAAGGTAGAAGTTTACAATTTGCAACTAAAGAAGAACTACTGTGTTTGGGGTAAGGGTTAGGGTTAGAACCACTGTGTCCATTCCAAAACGGGCCAATTGCCGGGATGAATTATCTTAAAGTGAAATTTTAATCGAAATATCGATGACGTGACGTCACCTGAAAGCAGGAGATAGTCCACTTGACGAAGCCAACAGTTGGTCAATATATAAAGTTTTGAAATGTATGGCTAAATGGAACTTTCTTAAATCCCTACCCATTCTCTCATAAAGCCTGCTATTATTTCTCATGTGTGTTTGTGGCTTCATGCCACAGGTGCATCTTTGAAGGCTAGGAGAGGAAATTTGGAAGCGTTTAAAAGTTCAATTAAACAACCCCTAATACAACTGCTTTCATATAAACCCTTTATAGAAAGAATTATCAAACAATTGGGGGGGGGGGGGGGGCGGCTAAAAATTTGAACAAAAATGCATAAAAGTAACCCCCCTTTTAAAAGAATCCCAATTATGGCCCTTCTTCCCCCCCCCCCCCCCAACCCCTCACACACACACAGCCACATACTTCGTTCCCGCCCTTGAACGATATTAATATTCTAATTCTCACCTGATTTTACACAGAAAAATATAACGCAACAAACGCACTTGTGATATTTAAAAATTAAAAAAACAGAACAATTTAATTTAATTAATAGCGCATTTTTTAAATTTGTTTGTCATTTTTATCTGCCCGTGAAAGTCATGAAAAGACACCATGAGTCAACTGCGCCAGGTGACACAAAATCTATTCACGCCTCCGTATTATACAATAAAATACAGCATTATTTATTTTTTTATTGTAAAATTATTTGCAAATCACAACTTTAAGCCCCGTAATTACCCGAGGTTGTGGGACTTTGCGCCGGGTTCTGTGCATAACCACTTCGTTTTAGATAACAAGACTCATAATTCCTAAAGGTAAAACTGCGAAAGCCCATTTACACGGGGCCATCCTGTGGTAAACACGCAAAATGGAGGCTGTAGACAAAAAATTTGACAAGGAAAATTCGTTTAAAACTAAAACTTGGAAAGAAGAAGTGAGCTTTAATTTTAAACATCTTTAAAGCTATTATAAAATTTTTGAATTAAAAAAAAAATAAGTTACTGCTAAATTTAGTGACCGAGCTGAAAATTAAAACAACGGACCGCTACCGGTCTACTTTCGTGTTGTGACGATGCTGGAATTTAAATTAAAAATGCTATTACATAAGTAATATAATTATATAACCAAGAATAAGAGTAAGAGTGTGTCACGAATGTAAGTCTGACATTTTATTAACTAAATATGAATAATGTACATTGACCTATAGTTTATAAACTTTATAAGTTATAGTTATAGGCTACTATTCTATAATAAATAATATTATAATAATTATAATAATAATATTTTTAATATAAATATATAATATATATAATAGGCATTAAAGTACATTAAAGGCTGTCAGTGTAAGTGTGTATTCGGACCCCTAGATTCAAGACCGAGAGGTTGGGTTTATTAAAAAAAATATTTATTTATTATTGTTGGGTTTGTTAGACAAAACTTGGTATCAAATGAAAGATAATTGAATGCACTACATGTTTGTATACTAAGCCTTACTTCTTCAGTTTAACTAAAATGTCTAAAATAAAATACCACAAATGACAACATAATAGCATTCATTTTTGTTTGATTTAGTCTAGTTTAAGGACCTAGGCATTTACTTTTGCCTTTAGACTAAATGCTATTCAAATGTCATTTGTGGTAGTCTATTTTATTTAAACTGAAGAAGCATGTTTAAAAACATATAGGCCTTTTAATATATTCTATTCAATTATCTTATAGGACTATGACTATATCCTATTATATATAGGCCTATACTTATATTATATGTACTATTAAAATAAATTTAAATGAATGTATTTTGTAGCCTGTGTAAGGTATAGGTTATAGAGCTGCTATCTATAAATTAATTATTTATACATTATTATAATTATAGTATAAATATCAGTTTAATTAATATAATATACAAAGTGGCTCCATACACCACAATGGTGTACCTAATAAAACGTTGACCTAGACTTGTGTACACAATGACAAAAATGTACCATTAGCGGCATTGGCCTGGTCTTAATATATGGCTGTTAGATATCATCTTGCGTGGTCTTGTGGTAGAGTAAACACTAGGCGATATCATTTTTTTGGATAAATTCCAAGATGCTTATTGAGTTTTACAAGGCCTAAAGTAAACTTAAAACGTCTATATTTTTTTCATCTTAATTAAAATTATATCTTAGAATTAAAATATAACCGGTGTGTTCATTTGTACCAGAAGTTGCATTTTTTTTTTAATATTTTGTAGCATTTTAACTATAGGTCTACATTATCTGCCTCGGATATTAAAGGGGACCAAATTTGCAATATGGAATGAATTTAAACTGTCAACTACAAGGGGACCAAAACCAAAAAGTGGCAGGAGGCCAACACAAGTCATATGACAGCTCTGGATAGGAGTTGTCCATATAGGAAATCCACATAAAATATGAAACTTTTCCACCCACTCCCCCTAATGGTTTTGGGAAACCCTGTCATATATAAATTAACGCATAGGTTTTTCTGTCATACATATAGAGAGAGACATCATCATAAGTAAAATATATATATTTTTTTAGCTTCATTAGTCCATAGTAATAACAAATTTATGTTATAAAGGTGTCTGTAAAAACCGTAAATATTTCAAATATTTGTAATTAAATTTTATAGTTTGGCGACCCAGTCGTGTACAGTCCAATCTTTAAAATAAATTTGTTTTATCAATGGGTGAGCCTCTTAAGCATTCTTTTGTTGGATTCAGTTTTGTGGACCCAAACCTTGATATCAAAGATATTCCACATAAAAAATGGGCCAAGTATTTTCAGCATTGTGTTTCAAAAAAAGCATGCTCAGGGCTTCTCAAGATGGCAGAATTCTTTTTGTAATACCTCCTCCAAATGCAAATGTAGAAATAATTCTTTCTTTAATCAGTCACTTTGTATCAAGCAGTCCAGAGTGTCAGTAGAATAATTTGTTTACAATTTAATTTCAAACATTTTCTCATGTGAAAGATTTTTTGAAAATATCATGAATGATGACAAGGTCATACATTGTATTGCATCATCCCGGAAATAAACAAAGACTGATTATAACAGAAAGGAAACTGTTCTTATATAATAAGTCATTGCTGGTATAATACAATCATAAATGTTATATTTAAAGCCATGACTATCCTGTTTTAACCTATTTCTAGGTGTCCTAGTTTTTAACCTCTATGTCCTAGTTTTTTTACCTCTAGCCTCTGGTTACCCAAATTAGATGTGTTTATTTTATATTAAATACTAATGACCAGTCAAATATGATTTTGATGGAAAGAACATGTTAAAATTCTTAAATACATTAAACCTAACCTTCAATTAGTTTGTTCTTGTCATTGTTATACGATGGACTTATTTTAACAAGAAAAATTCCATTGTGGAAGTGAGGGGGGGCACCATGAGTTTACCACACTGGGTGACACAAACCCTAGTAGCGCCAATGATACAGGCTATTATATGAGGGACTATGTAGTACAGACTATTATATGAGGGACTGTCTAGTACAGGCTATTTTATGAGGGACTGTGTAGTATAGACTATTACTCAAGTCTCATAAAGTTAATCGCTAATGCTAAAAATCACTTTTTAAAATACACTAGTTATTTAATTTGCTTATGAAAACATTTTAATTTTGTTGATTCCATCCAGCGTGTGACCGCCACACTATGTCTCTCTGTCTTTGGCGCTGTCCTCGGCTCATTCCAGTTTGGATACAACACTGGAGTTATCAATTCACCAGAATCGGTAAGAGTTGTGGTTCTTCAATTACCATAAGCCAACACAAGAATGTGCTTGTTATATCCACATGTGATTTCATATTATATGGACTCTCAAATTACGAGCATTGTTTATTCCATATACATACTCATAGTAACCTCAGATTATGGGCATTATTCATTTCATATGCATGCTCATAGTAACCTCAGATTATGAGCATTATTAATTTCATATACATGCTCATTGTAACCTCAGATTATGAGCATTATTTTTTCCATACACATCCTCATAGTCAAAATAAAATGAGTGAAACAGAGTAGGGTTAAACCTGAAAAAATAAACGCAACAAAACAGTGAACGTGTCTGCAGAAAGGCTTCGTCAGCGAACAAAACAACAGAAAAAACGTTATAAAAATAAGAAATAGCACTTAGCTGGTAAGTAGTATCTGTGGGCAGCAATAGAAGTGTCATATTCCTTATTAGTTTCATATATTTCAAAACAAATGTTTATGTGCTTTTTGCTCTTACAATATTACCTTCCTTGTTAGATTGGTATATATTATAACAAAACAAATTTTATGTGCTTGAATATTAATTATTACATTGAATTTTTAAAAAAAACTGCAACACTGACACTAAAAACTTGAAAAAAAAAAAGTTTAAATATGAGTAAATCTAGGCAGTATTTTTCAATTAAATTTGATTAGTGTTTAGAAGGTGGACTTGTCAAAGATGAAAAGATCTAAAAATTGCTCTGTTCTTTTTTTTTTAATGAAAATGCTCTTCTTTTTTTTTTCAGAGTATCAAAGAGTTCATGAACCAGACTGAGGTACAGCGAACCGGGCAGGGCATGTCAGAGAGCAAGATTACCAATATGTTCGCCATTATTGTAGCAATATTTGCTGTAGGGGGCTGCATGGGTGGCATACTGGCTGGATGGTGGGCAGACACTTTTGGAAGGTAAGTAATAATAATAATACTAATTTTGTGGGAGGTTGTCTTCTATGACCATTTGATCTACATGAGATGTTGCTGCCAGTGAGATGAGTTAGATATTATGAAGGCTGTATACAATTTTAGGCTGAAAAATGTGGTTGTGACAGGTTGTGTAACATATGGTTGTGACAGGTTGTGTAACATATGGTTGTGACAGGTTGTGTAAATATGGTTGTGTAACATGGTTGTGACAGGTTGTGTAACATATGGTTGTGACAGTTTGTGTAACATATGGTTGTGACAGGTTGTGTTTTTCTGTGTATTTTCTATCAGTGGTTTCACCAGTACTTGGGCAAATCTTGAGACCTGTCAAACAATTGTTTAATTTTGGAAAGTTGTTCAATAACCCAGAGGTAAATTCATTGACCCTTTTATGATGGTGTCTGGCCTCCTGTCCATTTTAGTTAATTTGGTAGACAAAGTTTGGCAAAACCTATTATCTAATTTTATTAAAGTGTTTCCCACAGTGTTACCCCGGAGCAAGAGATGCAGCTGAACGTTACTAACTTATCATCATTAAAATAGTTGTACATCTTTGTTTAATTCAATGTGACAGGACATGACATCTAGCTGCCCTGGAACAATCCAGTAACTAAGTCGTCATTAATATTTGTAGAAGCTTCAGCAAGCTGCGCACTCATCATTTTTAGTTCACTTTTTTTTAGAAGCATAACTAATGTCGTACATCTGAAAAAGCAAACAATGAAAGATGAATTTTAAGATAGAACTGTCAAATGTAGAGTTGTAGAATTTAAGCTATTTATAATCTTGTTGAAATGATTTATTTCATAAATGTTATCGACTTAATGATTTTTCCAAAAGGCCAATGATTTTTTTCAGTTACCCAACTACAATTAAGTGTTCCGATGATCCATTTTATTTTCAACAAATTGTTTTTAATGACTTGTTTTAATGGGTTAGGGTTAGGTTTAAACTTAAACAAACTTAAGCCTTTATGACTGTTCTTTAGACTTTTTTTACCGGGTTAGGGTTAGGTTTAAACTTAAACAAACTTAAGCCTTACGATTGTTTTTAGACTTTTTTTACTGGGTTAGCGTCAGGTTTAAACTTAAACAAACTTAAGCCTTACGATTGTTCTATAGACTTGTTTTACTGACTCAATGAGAAATAAAGTGGATGTCTTAACAGGACTTCCAGCAAGTCATAATTTATGAGCTTTGCTGCAGGATAAGCCAGCCTCATGGACATTTGGTTTCATATTATTATTCCAGGAAGTTTGGCCTCTTGGCAAACACTAGCATTGGTATTGTGGGTGGTGCTCTCATGTATTTCAGCTGTCTGGCCAGCTCCTATGAAATGATCATCGTTGGTAGATTTGTTATTGGATTTAACTGTGGTAATTTTTGGTTCACTTTTTAAAAAAAACACATTTTGTTCCTATCCTATTGCTTTTAACAGTAATAAATAACAGTAAAAATTTGAAATAAATTCTGGAAAATTTACAAAATTGCATTAAAAGTTTAAAACCTTCATTCTAATAGTCAGATTTCAAAATCATTATTAATTATTTTTGTTAGTTTTTGCTATTCTTTTATGCAAGTGGTTTTATCATTTGTATGTAAGATATATTAAGATTTATGCCTTAGAATAGTCGTTGGTCCCTGGTTCAGTGATCTGTCTATTTACAGGACTCTACACGGGGCTGACCCCATTGTACCTCTCAGAAATCTCCACTCACAAAACACGTGGTGCCCTGGGAGTGCTGCATCAGCTTGGAGTCACCATTGGCATTTTCATCTCACAAATCTTTGGTTTCTTTGAGGTCATGGGCAATGCAGACTTTTGGAATTTGCTTTTAGGTAAGTATCCCTGGGAAGTAATCTTATCACATGGAAGTAAACTTATCACTTGGAAGTAAACTTACATGTTGCTCTTTATGTTTCTAAAGTCGTGTTTAGGTATACGCATTAAATATACATAATAATAATAATTGCTTTTTTGATATTGAACAGTATTCTTATACAGGGAATTTGAATTAATGATAATTCTTTGTTTACTTTTAGTTCTGCTCAATCTGTTTAAACCTTAGTAGTGCTCAATCTGTTTAAACCTTAGTAGTGCTCAATCTGTTTAAACCTTAGTAGTGCTCAATCTGTTTAAACCTTAGTAGTGCTCAATCTGTTAAAATCTTAGTACTGCTCAATCTGTTTAAATCTTAGTACTGCTCAATCTGTTTAAATCTTAGTAGTGCTCAATCTGTTTAAACCTTAGTACTGCTCAATCTGTTTAAATCTTAGTAGCGCTTAATCTGTTTAAACCTTAGTAGTGCTCAATCTGTTTAAACCTTAGTACTGCTAAATCTGTTTAAATCTTAGTAGTGCTCAATCTGTTTAAACCTTAGTAGTGCTCAATCTGTTTAAATCTTAGTACTGCTCAATCTGTTTAAACCTTAGTAGTGCTCAATCTGTTTAAATCTTAGTACTGCTCAATCTGTTTAAACCTTAGTAGTGCTCAATCTGTTTAAATCTTAGTACTGCTCAATCTGTTTAAATCTTAGTAGTGCTAAATCTGTTTAAATCTTAGAAGTGCTCAATCTGTTTAAATCTTAGTACTGCTCAATCTGTTTAAATCTTAGTACTGCCCAATCTGTCGGTAACCAAAGCTGTACACATTATGTCCATAATTGTTAGAAGTTTTGTAAAGATAACACTTGGATGATTACAGTTGGATTCAAAATGTAATTGGTGATGCTGTCATTAGGCTTGTGCTATGTAGTTAGTGATGCTTTAAGTAGGCTTGTGTTGTGTAGTTAGTGATGCTGTAAGTAGGCTTGTGTTGTGTAGTTAGTGATGCTTTAAGTAGGCTTGTGTTGTGTAGTTAGTGATGCTGTAAGTAGGCTTGTGTTGTGTAGTTAGTGATGCTGTAAGTAGCTTTGTGTTGTGTAGTTAGTGATGCTTTAAGTAGGCTTGTGTTGTGTAGTTAGTGATGCTGTAAGTAGGCTTGTGTTGTGTAGTTAGTGATGCTTTAAGTAGGCTTGTGTTGTGTAGTTAGTGATGCTGTAAGTAGCTTTGTGTTGTGTAGTTAGTGATGCTTTAAGTAGGCTTGTGTTGTGTAGTTAGTGATGCTGTAAGTAGCTTTGTGTTGTGTAGTTAGTGATACTGTAAGTAGGCTTGTGTTGTTTTTAATAATGGTCTAAGAAGAATTAATGTAAATGACCGTGAATGAAATATTTCTTACCTACAAGAACTAGTTTTTCTGTTGTAATTTCTATCTTCCCCATTGGAGGTCATTAAAAAATATACCTCGATAACTAATGCTCTGCTGATTGCAATCATGCCTTAGACAGATATCTGCACTACTGATTTCAATCATGCCTTAGACAGATATCTGCACTACTGATTGCAATCATGTCTTAGACAGATATCTGCACTACTGATTGCAATCATGCCTTAGACAGATATCTGCACTACTGATTGCAATCATGCCTTAGAACGCTATCTGTGCATGCCTACAGAATTACTTTGTTACAGCACATGCCTGTATTGATTGTCATGTTATGAACCAGCTGACTAACCAAAGCTGGCTGACGCAACAGTTTAGTGAATAAAACCTAACTCTTGATAACAGTTAACAATGTTTAAGTTGATCAAGACATCGAAGTTAGGGATCTCTAAGAGGCAGTATTGACAAAGACACTGATGGTAGGCATCTCTAAGAGTCAGAAAGAGACAAATACAATAAAATGTCCATGTTTTATAAATTAAAATTAAATTTATAATTTTGTTTTAAACAAACTTTTGTTCTCCTAAAAAGATCTTAAAAAGAATTTATGGTTAAGGTTAGGATAAAGGTTAGAGTTCCGTATCAAGTATTTTATGATTTAAACTGGTCTAGTTAGTCAAAACACATATTGGATTTTGCCTAGATATGGTCAAACACATTCCCTCAACCAAGTGAACCCCATCTCTCTTCTTCTTCTTCTATATCTTAAGGGCCCACGATCAATTTATTGATCATTTTGGCTCCTATGCATGTAGATGGGATTTGCAATGTTTCTGTTACTGGTGGTGATGAGGAAATTATGCCACTTGTTTTTTACTTAATTCTTCTCTCCACAAATTATGTTTTTCCTGCCACTCTAACTCTGCCTGTGCTAGTTCCTGGGCTAGCTGTTCTAGCCTAACTTGCCTATCTCGTTTTTCCTGTTCTAGCCAAACTTGTCTTTTTCGTTCTTTAGCTTGTCTATCTTTTTCTATCAGCTTGCTTTCAACCCACCTAGTAAGAGCTTCATCTTTATAACGGGTAATAAGGGGAGAGACTGCAATCAGGTTAGCACAATATAACATGAGTAAAACAGAGTAGAATTAAACCTGAAAAAGGAATGCAACAAAACAGGGAACGTGTTGGCAGAAAGCCTACGTCACCGAACAAAACCACAGAAAAAAACGGAAATAAAAATAAGAAATAGCTTTTAGCTTGGAAGTAGTATCCGAGGGCAGCAAAAGAAATATGTTTTTGTCAAACCGGGGTACAGCACAGCAGAATGCAGTGATTCCAGGACACAGGCCCAGTGGGAAACAGTAACGACAGCACACAAATACAACAGCATGGAGGCACTCCAGTATAGCCAAAAACCACTAAATTGGGATGCAGTACAACAGTAAACGCTCAAAGCAGTCTCAGGACCATCAGGCTACAATCACACGATATTCTTTGGAGAACTCACGATAGGCAAGCGCTCTCAAGGAGGTCAAAGAAAGCATTACAAAGTCTCACTGAAAGCGGCACCAAAGACCTTCAGCATCAACCCTACTGATTAGGTGCAGACAGTCCAGGATGGAGCCAGGTGGAGAGCAGCTGTGAAGAAGAGGGCTAGCTGAGACACACAGGCTAGCCCAAAAGAGCAACATTAGATCACCAACTACAGCAACTATCCCCTGCCTACAGTGCCAGAGATTATTCAGAGCACGGATCCGACTATCAAGCCAGCTACAAGCTCAGCGTGACCCTCCCCATCCCAACCCTGTCGCCCCAACTGGATGGTCCTAATCGATATGGACGGTTAGCTGAAGTGGTTCACCATGTGTCCATAGGAAGACAGGCTTAACTACAGATCCCTCTATAAATGATATGTTTTTTCTGGGATTAGTTGAGCTGGTTCACCATGTAACCATGGGATTAGTTGAGGTGCTTTACTGTGTAACCATAGTGTTAGTTGAAGTGGTTTACTGTGTAACCATAGGGTTAGTTGAGCTGGTTCACCATGTAACCATGTGGTTGGTTGAGGTGGTTCACATGTAACCATGTGGTTAGTTGAGGTGGTTCACCATGTAACCATGTGGTTAGTTGAGGTGGTTCACCATGTAACCATGTGGTTAGTTGAGGTGGTTCACCATGTAACCATGTGGTCTGTTGAGGTGGTTCACCATGTAACCATGGGGAGCAGTTCAAGGACCAAAAGTTGTTTGTACTTTCAGGAGAGGATATAAAAAAAAAAAGGCCATCTAGAATTTTATTAAGAAATAAATAAGCCTCAGAAATCTAGAATGTATCTGAGAGTGAAATCGAAATAAGTGCTGTCAATATGTCTGGTCCATAAAGCTCCGATTGGCTGTCATTGTTGAAAACTTAATCAACTGGGCCTTTGTCTTCAGAAATCCTCAAGTGGTTGGGGGGGAGGGGGGGGAGGGCTGAGAAGAATTGATAAGCTTGTTAATCTTTATTTCCGCGATAAGTCTAATGGTTTAAGGCTAGGGACAGGCAATATATTCACATAAGTCTAATGATGTAGAGCTAGGACAGGCAATATATTCTCATAAGTCTAATGGTGTAGAGCTAGGGACAGGCAATATATTCACATAAGTCTAATGGTGTAGAGCTAGGGACAGGCAATATATTCACATAAGTCTAATGGTGTAGAGCTAGGGACAGGCAATATATTCACATAAGTCTAATGATGTAGAGCTAGGGACAGGCAATATATTCACATAAGTCTAATGATGTAGAGCTAGGGACAGGCAATATATTCACATAAGTCTAATGGTGTAGAGCTAGGGACAGGCAATATATTCACATAAGCCTAATGGTGTAGGGCTAGGGATTGGTCTTGTTAACATATCATTCAGACCCTGGGATAAGAACATGTTGGTCTTGTTAACATCCCAGGGATAAGAACATGTTGGTCCTTGTTAACATATTCTAACCCAGGGATAAGAACATGTTGCTCTTTGTTAACATATCATTCTGACCCAGGGATAAGAATATGTTTTTCGTTGTTAACATATCATTCTAACCCAGGGATAAGAATATGTTGGTCTTTGTTAACATATTCTAACCCAGGGATAAGAATATGTTGGTCTTTTTAACTTGCTGATTGACCCAGGAATAAGAAAATTCTACTCTTTGTTAACATTGCATACTGATCCAAGGATAAGGATATGTTGCTATTTGTTAGCAATGGATGATGTGTCAAATTTTCTGATCATTTGTCTTGCTTTGTATTTAATTGTAGTACACATTAGAACTTAGTTTGTGTACATGTCTGAGAGTCTTGTATTTGTCTTGCTTTGTATTTAATTCTAGTACACATTAGAACTTAGTTTGTGTACAGGTCTGAGAGTCTTGTATTTGTCTTGCTTTGTATTTAATTCTAGTACACATTAGAACTTAGTTCGTGTACAGGTCTGAGAGTCTTTGTATTTGTCTTGCTTTGTCTTTAATTGTAAATTTCTCTATCCTGTTCTCCACTGGCAAACATCTGCAGTTGCCTACAATTAATCAGACATGTTGTCAATCAACAAGATTGGTTTAGAAAATATTCAGCTGTCAGTTTGGCTTGCTTTGTCCTCAAATCATTGGAACTAAAGTATTTTACTCTTTACTTGGTCATTAATGGTATCACCATGTGTCCAGAAACAGCATCATAAATAGTCGTGAAAATATATTGCTTTAAGACTCAGGAAGTGGCGAAAACATCTATCTCCTATCCTTGTGACAAAAATCCCAATCGCTGGAGTCATGTCCTATCCTTGTGACAGACAACCCAATCACTAGAGTCATGTCCTATCTAATATCAATGTGACAAACAACCCAATCACTAGAGCCATGTCCTATCTCATATCCTTGTGAAAAACAACCCAATCACTAGAGCCATGTCTTATCCTTGTGACAAACAACTCAATCACTAGAGTCATGTAAGATAAGTGTTGCTAATCTTAACATAAGTTCATAGGCCAACTTGTTTTCTGTAATCACGATTAGTGGACCATTCACCTCTGTGACCCCACAGTTACCAGCATTTTAATATCTAAAACAAAAAGAATAGGAAGTAATCTCCTGTGTTTAAGAAATGCTCTCCTGTATTGATTTTGCCACTGTTCTTATGTGAAGGGACAGTTCGATCACACATTTTTAGGGGAACTGTAGCCCACTTTACTTCTTCAGTTTATTATTTTAAAATATTGTTTGATCATTGAGTGTTCCCAATATGTTCAGATAATGGGTCTTTAGTCAATGGGTGGTTACCAATATGTTCAGAAAATGGGTCTTTAGTCAATGAGTGATTACCAATATATTCAGATAATGGATTAATAGCCAATGGGTGGTTCACAATATGCTCAGATAATGGTTCATTATTCAATGAGTGGTTACCAATATGTTCAGAAAATAGATCATTAGTCAATGAGTGGTTCCCCATATGTTCAGATAATGGGTCAGTATTCAATGATTGGTTACCAATATGTTCAGATAATGGATTATTAGTCAATGAGTTGTTCACAATAAGTTCTGCTTATAGACTTGTATTATTTTAAATCATTTATTTCCCAGGCCTGGCTGTGTTCCCATGTGTGCTCCAGCTGATAGTTTTACCTTTTTGTCCCGAAAGCCCGAGGTATTTGCTTATATCTAAAGACAAAGAGGAAAACTCTAAATCAGGTGAAAGCAGTGTTTAATAATATTTTGTTTAGTGTCTAAATCAGATAACATCAATATTTGCTAATCTAAAGACTCAAAGTCTTTTCAAAAGCCTATGCTTGCATAGACCTTCTTATATTATTATAATAAACTCTTATAATTTGTGACATCTGTCAGGAACCGACCAAATATTCTTGGCTAAATTAAAGATAATAAAAAAAGTAACATTACCTTCAAACTCTATATTTAGCACTGTTACGGTTGAGAGGAATGGACATGGTGGATGAGTATCTTGATGAAATGAAGGAAGAGGCAAGGGGACAGCAACAGGAAGAAAAGGTAGCCCTTGAATTCAATTAGTTCGATCAGATAAGATTATTAATTGATCCAAACAAATGGAAATGTTTCTTTAATTACATTGAACATAATAATTTTCAGCACAAATGTAATACATATTTAAACCAAGACAACATGCTACAATTATAAAAATGGAAACGCAAGACAACTCAAGTATTTCTCTAGCATAGAAATCAGCCATCAATGAACTCCTTTACTGACAATAATAACTTAAATAAGTGATCCTTTACATTTCTAGACTGGGGTGGGGAGCACACAGGTCGAATCTTATAGACTGGGGAACAAAAGAATTTTTATATCATATGTCCCTGCATTTGGAATTTGCTAGAAAGTCTTTGGCATCCTCAAATGCTGCACCCCCAACACCACTCTGATCAACATACAATACTGGGTTGAATCTAAGCTGATACCAAATTATTTCACTAGGGCATGACACAACCAGAGTGAACTCAATTTATGTATGGCATTGTGTGGCATAATTGGCACTTTGTGCCATGATGCCTGCCCTGTCACTTAATAAAATTTCCTTAATGAAAAAGTCAAATAGAAATGCTAAATTCAGGTATACCCCACAATGCACATCTGATTTTGAAATAATCAAAAATGTTCAAGGACAAATGTTTATCAATGACCTATGTCCGACTTAATGGTCACTGTTATGTCCATCAATGACCTATGTCCGACTTAATTTTCACTGTTATGACTATCAATGACCTTCGTCTGACTTAATGCTCATTGTTATGTTTATCGATGACCTATGTCCGACTTAATGGTCACTGTTATGTCTATCAATGACCTATGTCTGACTTAATGGTCAATTTTATGACTATCAATGACCTATGTCTTACTTAATGGTCACTGTTATGACTATCAATGACCTTTGTCTGACTTAATGGTGACTGTTATGTCTATCAATGACCTATGTCCGACTTAATGGTCATTGTCATGCCTATCAATGACCTATGTCCATCAATTACCTGTGTCCGTCCATGACCTGTGTTGATCAATGACCTGTGTCCATCAATGACCTGTGTCTGACATCCAGTTCTCATGATTATTTTATCTTTGCTACTGAAAACATCTTCCTTCAGGTCTGAGCATCAATTTTGATTGTGTGGCTTTTGGTTGTGTGACTTTTGATTGTAAAAGAAGACCAGAATTAGGCAGTGAGGCTTTTAATTGTAAAAGAAGACCAGAATTAGGGAGTGAGGCTTTTAATTGTAAAGGAAGACCAGAATTTGATTGTGTCACTTTTGCTTGTAAAATAAGACCAGAATTTCATTGTGTACTTTCTATTTCAAAATTTGAAACATCATCCCCATTGATATTAATTTCATTACTGGAAAATTTGTTAGCTAAACACACTTTATATAAGTGTCTGCTAAATTTGTTAGCTAAACACACGTTATATTAGTGTCTGCTAAATTTGTTAAACAAACTTTATATAAGTGTCTGCTAAATTTGTTAGCTAAACACACGTTATATTAGTGTCTGCTAAATTTGTTAAACAAACTTTATATAAGTGTCTGCTAAATTTGTTAGCTAAACACACGTTATATTAGTGTCTGCTAAATTTGTTAAACAAACTTTATATAAGTGTCTGCTAAATGTGTTAGCTAAACACACTTTATATAAGTGCCTGCTAAATTTGTTAGCTAAACACACTTTACATAAGTGTCTGCTAAATTTGTTAGCTAAACACACTTTACATAAGTGTCTGCTAAATTTGTTAGCTAAACACACTTTATATAAGTGTCTGCTAATATAAAAAAAGTTGAATGGAAAAAAGAAGTTAGTAGTGCGGATAATGTTAACACCTGCCAGAAAGTGAGTAGCCTACTGAAAAAAAAAATGTTGTGATGACCTAGATTTTTCTGTGTCATCTGCACTATCATCATCATTCTTTTGCAAGGATGAAGCACACTTATTCCATTTTTCAAAGTAAAGAATATTTAGCTTGACAAAAGTGTCACATATCTTTCATTTTATTTGACTAAAATGTCACATATCTTTCATTTTATTTGACTAAAATGTCACATATTTTTCATTTTATTTGACTAAAATGTCACATATCTTTCATTTTATTTGACTAAAATGTCACATATCTTTCATTTTATTTGACTAAAATGTCACATATCTTTCATTTCATTTTACTAAAATGTCACATATCTTTCATTTTATTTGACTAAAATGTCACATATCTTTCATTTATTTGACTAAAATGTCACATATCTTTTATTTTATTTGACTAAAATGTCACATATCTTTCATTTTATTTGACTAAAATGTCACATATCTTTCATTTTATTTGACTAAAATGTCACATATCTTTCATTTATTTTACTAAAATGTCACATATCTTTCATTTTATTTTACTAAAATGTCACATATCTTTCATTTTATTTGACTAAAATGTCACATATCTTTCATCATCAGGTCAACATCCTCATCTTGTTAACACGACCAGTCTACCGTATGCCCGTAATCATCAGTATTGTCATGCAGTTGTCTCAGCAGTTTTCTGGTATAAATGGGGTAGGTGACAACTTATTTGGGCTCATTTAGTTTTAAGTTATTCAGTGATCCTCAATCCTTAACACTTATTCAGTTAGTGATGCCTTTTACCCGTATTACAGCAGAGATGTTGCAATGTTGTCTCATCATCTCTGTTGTAATGTTGTCTCATCATCTCTGTTGTAATGTTGTCTCATCATCTCTGTTGTAATGTTGTCTCATCACCTCTTTTGTAATGTTGTCTCATCATCTCTGTTGTAATGTTGTCTCATCATTTCTGTTGTAATGTTGTCTCATCATCTCTGCTTTATTGTTGTCTCATCATCTCTGTTGTAATGTTGTCTCATCATCTCTGTTGTAATTTTGTCTCATCATCTCTGCTGTAATGTTGTCTCATCATTTCTGTTGTAATGTTGTCTCATCATCTCTGTTGTATTGTTGTCTCATCATCTCTGTTGTAATGTTGTCTCATCATCTCTGTTGTAATGTTGTCTCATCATCTCTGTTGTAATGTTGTCTCATCACCTCTTTTGTAATGTTGTCTCATCATCTCTGTTGTAATGTTGTCTCATCATTTCTGTTGTAATGTTGTCTCATCATCTCTGCTTTATTGTTGTCTCATCATCTCTGTTGTAATGTTGTCTCATCATCTCTGTTGTAATTTTGTCTCATCATCTCTGCTGTAATGTTGTCTCATCATTTCTGTTGTAATGTTGTCTCATCATCTCTGTTGTATTGTTGTCTCATCATCTCTGTTGTAATGTTGTCTCATCATCTCTGCTGTAATGTTGTCTCATCATCTCTGCTGTAATGTTGTCTCATCATCTCTGTTGTAATGTTGTCTCATCATCTCTGCTGTAATGTTGTCTCATCATCTTTTCTTTCATGTTGTCTCATCATCTCTGCTGTAATGTTGTCTCATCTTTTCTTTCATGTTGTCTCATCATCTCTGCTGTATTGTTGTCTCATCATCTCTGCTGTAATGTTGTCTCATCATCTCTGTTGTAATGTTGTCTCATCATCTCTGTTGTAATGTTGTCTCATCATCTCTGCTGTAATGTTGTCTCATCATCTCTGTTGTAATGTTGTCTCATCATCTCTGTTGTAATGTTGTCTCATCATCTCTGTTGTAATGTTGTCTCATCATCTCTGCTGTATTGTTGTCTCATCATCTCTGCTGTAATGTTGTCTCATCATCTCTGTTGTAATGTTGTCTCATCATCTTTTCTTTCATGTTGTCTCATCATCTCTGCTGTAATGTTGTCTCATCATCTCTGTTGTATTGTTGTCTCATCATCTCTGTTGTATTGTTGTCTCATCATCTCTGTTGTAATGTTGTCTCATCATCTCTGCTGTAATGTTGTCTCATCATCTCTGCTGTAATGTTGTCTCATCATCTCTGATGTAATGTTGTCTCATCATCTTTTCTTTCATGTTGTCTCATCATCTCTGTTGTAATGTTGTCTCATCATCTTTTCTTTCATGTTGTCTCATCATCTCTGTTGTAATGTTGTCTCATCATCTCTGCTGTAATGTTGTCTCATCATCTCTGCTGTAATGTTGTCTCATCATCTCTGTTGTAATGTTGTCTCATCATCCCTGCTGTAAATTGGGCTCGTAATCTCTGCTATAGTGTTGTCTCATGCTTTCGCAATTTTTAGCTGCTTGATTGGCTGAGGAATTTCCTCCTAATTTTGGGGCACCATAATAATGATGCAATTATTGTAGAGAAATTGTTCACAGCATATGTACATTAAGGGAAAATAGCAATGCCGATCTGCTTGCTTACCAGTTTCTTATTCTGAGAACCACTATATTAAACTTTATTTTGAAGTTATTGCTTAAACAAATTTATGGAACCATAAATGTTTGTGTTCTGCAATAAAAAAATATCTAATATCTCAACTGATCCGTCAAAGTAGAGCTTGATAATGAAACTGTATTTTATACATCGAAAGCCTCTATATACCCATCTCTGTTACACACAATATTCTTTGTTAGAAAGCCTCTATCACCCTTCCTGTTACATACACAGCTATTCTTTGTTAGAAAGTCTATATATACCCATCCCTGTAACATACACAGCTATTCTTTGTAAGAAAGCCTCTATATACCCATCCCTGTAACATACACAGATATACTTTGTTAGAAAGCCTCTATATACCCATCCCTGTAACATGCACAGATATTCTTTGTTAGAAAGCCTCTATATACCCATCCCTGTAACATAGACAGATATTCTTTGTTAGAAAGCCTCTATACACCCATCCCTGTTACATATACAGGGTTAGAAAGCCTCTAGATACCCTTCCCTGTTACATACACAGATTTTCTTTGTTAGAAAGCCTCTATCACCCTTCCCTGTTACATACACAGATATTCTTTGTTAGAAAGCCTCTATATACCCATCCCTGTTACATACACAGATATTCTTTGTTAGAAAGCCTCTATATACCCTTCCCTGTTAGAAACACAGATAATCTTTTTTAAAAGCCTCTATATACCCTGCTCTGTTAGATTTACAGAAATTCTTTGTTATAAAACCTCTATATACCCATCCTTTTTATTTACACAGACATTTTTTGTTAGAAAGCCTCTATATACCTATTCCTGTTATGTACACAGACATTTTTTGTTAGAAAGCATCTCTATACCTATCCCTGTTATGTACACATTTTTTGTTAGAAAGCCTCTATATACCTATCCCTGTTATGTACACAGACATTTTTTGTTAGAAAGCCTCTATATACCCATCTCTTGTCCTTACACAGATATTCTACTACTCTGCCAGTCTGTTCAAAGAGGCTGGCCTTGACGTCTCCACGGCAACACATGCCACTAGTGGAGTTGGAGCAGTAATGGTGGTCATGACCTTTATCACCATACCTTTGATGGACAGGGCTGGAAGGCGAACCCTGCATCTGATTGGCTTGGCTGGGATGTGTTTCTTTAGCATCCTCATCACTGTCACATTAGCCTTGAGGGTAAGACCACAAGTTGTAATCAGATCATTGTTTTTTCAGTGTTCCATACTGTGGAATATATCAATTTATAAAAACGTGCAAGACTAGCTTAATGGGAACATATAGTTTACAAAGACGCAAAGGGTTGGTTGGGGGGGGGGGGGTTAACTTTATTTCTTTAGCATCCTCATCACTGTCACATTAGCCTTGAGGGTAAGACCACAAGTTGTAGTCAGATCATTGTTTTTTCAGTGTTCCATACTGTGGAATATATCAATTTATAAAAACGTGCAAGACTAGCTTAATGGGAACATATAGTTTACAAAGACGCAAAGGGTTGGTTGGGGGGGGGGGTTAACCTTCTGAAGTTTTGTGTTGTGTATTCTTTCATAAATTTTGAAATTAATGAGGTTTACCTGGACAATTAATGAGGTTACCTGAACATTAATGAGGTTTACCTGATTATTTCAAATTAGACAATAATGAGGTTTACCTGGTCATTTACAGTTAAAAATTATAGACATTTACCTGGACACTAATGATGTTTGCCTGAACATTAATGAAGTTTACCTGGCTATTTACAGTTAGAAATTAATGAGGTGCCTGGCCATTAATGATGTTTACCTGAACATTAATGAGATTTACCTGGTTATTTCAAATTAGAAATTAATGAGGTTTCCCTGAACATTAACTGTTAGAAATTAATGAACTTTTCTAGGCCATTTACTGTTAAAAATTAAGTATGTTTACCTGGATATTTCAAGTTATACATTAATGAGGTTTATCTGGGCATTAACAGTTAGAATTTAATGAGGTTTACCATTACATTAATGATGTTTATCTTGCCATTTACAGTTAAAAATTAATGAGGTTTACGTGGACATTAATGATGTTTAAGTGGTCATTTGCAGTTAAAAATTAATGATGTTTAATTTATTTTCTGCTTTAGGAACAAGTGACCTGGTTTAACACAAGTAGCATTGTTGTCTCCCTTTTGTACGTGGTGTTTTTTGCTATTGGTCCAGGTGAGTTTCATGTCAATCAAATGGGGCTTTGGTCATTGGTCCAGCTAAGATGTATGTCAATCAAATGGGGCTTGGGTCATTGGTACAGGTCAGTTGTATGTCAATCAAATGGGGCTTGGGTCATTGGTACAGGTCAGTTGTATGTCAATCAAATGGGGCCTAATGGGTTTAACCCTATAACTGTCGTAACGACTGATAAATGGCCATTAAACCCATTTCTGTCTTGTCACGGCCGCTATATAATTTGCCACTAGCACAATCATCACTAAAAATGCAAATGATGCAATGTATTTTGCTTACGGGGAAATCACTCTATCTGAATGAGTTTGCTTGCTATTCACATTTCTATCTGTATACCAACATGCTTTCATCAGGGCTTGTTTTGAAATCATTTCGTGCCTTCCACCTTGTATTTTGTATGACAGAAATTTGAAGGTAGTGAATGAAAAAATTCATCAGTATTACAATTTTAACTATAAATACCAATAATTTGAAATTTGCTTAAAAAATATTGCTTCTAGTATCTTAAAAGCTTGATTTTATTTTAGTTGAACAATTTATGGAGTATTAGTTTAGGTCCAATTCAGAAAATTTAAGTGTTGTAAAATTTTACTCACTCTGTAAAGGTCAAGGTCTAAATCAACATGTGTAACATAAAAACAACTTCTTTTCATACCATAAGATACCTTGTCCAATGCACTTACAGAAAATGTATACTTGTAAGGATCTCTGAATTCATTTAGTATGTTATTTTGTCATTTTTGACAAGTATATGAAAATGCTCAAAATGGCTTGACACTACAGAAAAATGAACTTGGCAGTGATAGTGGGAACTTGACAGTTATTGGGTTAAATGTTTTTTACGTTTATGTTGCTTTTGAGTTCAACTGCTTCAACCACCCAACGGATAAGTCTGACAGGCCAGGTGCTGCCTTTAACGGATTGTTAACACATTGGTACATAGAAAGGGGAAATCTCACCATTAAATGAAAATATTGCGGGGAAACTAGACCAAGGGAGATTACTGCCTTTTTTTTTTAATCCATTCATTTTTTTAATAGTTTATATGAGTAGTTGATGTTTTTGTCCTGATTGACTATTAAAAATGTACACAACACAAGCATTGGGAAATATTTTAATGCATCACATTAAGCCATGAATTATGAATGCAAATCAGTTTATTTGATAGAAATGTATTGAAAAATATATTAGTTTTGAAAACATTTTCTAAAGGTATCAACTCTATGAGTATAGTTGTTCCCCTTTGCCCTGGGTTTCAAATGGTAAAATTTATGAGCCCCATTCAGAAGGACTTAGTAGCACAAGACAGGTTAAATCAAAATATGACAAATGGCATATGACAAACAACATGACTAACGGTATATGACAAGAAACATAGGACAAACATAATTAATTTTATCACCAAACGAAGATATTATTATTAATATTTGTCTTTGTTCTTACATTCTCAGCTACCCCAAATGACATCTTGTTCATTGTTTTTACATTCTCAGCTACCCCAAATGGCATCTTGTTCATTGTTTTTACATTCTCAGGGCCTCCAAATGACATCTTGTTCATTGTTTTTACATTCTCAGCTACCCCAAATGACATCTTGTTCATTGTTTTTACATTCTCAGGGCCTCCAAATGACATCTTGTTCATTGTTTTTACATTCTCAGCTACCCCAAATGACATCTTGTTCATTGTTTTTACATTCTCAGGGCCTCCAAATGACATCTTGTTCATTGTTTTTACATTCTCAGCTACCCCAAATGACATCTTGTTCATTGTTTTTACATTCTCAGGGCCTCCAAATGACATCTTGTTCATTGTTTTTACATTCTCAGCTACCCCAAATGACATCTTGTTCATTGTTTTTACATTCTCAGGGCCTCCAAATGACATCTTGTTCATTGTTTTTACATTCTCAGCTACCCCAAATGACATCTTGTTCATTGTTTTTACATTCTCAGGGCCTCCAAATGACATCTTGTTCATTGTTTTTACATTCTCAGCTACCCCAAATGACATCTTGTTCATTGTTTTTACATTCTCAGGGCCTCCAAATGACATCTTGTTCATTGTTTTTACATTCTCAGCTACCCCAAATGACATCTTGTTCATTGTTTTTACATTCTCAGGGCCTCCAAATGACATCTTGTTCATTGTTTTTACATTCTCAGCTACCCCAAATGACATCTTGTTCATTGTTTTTACATTCTCAGGGCCTCCAAATGACATCTTGTTCATTGTTTTTACATTCTCAGCTACCCCAAATGACATCTTGTTCATTGTTTTTACATTCTCAGGGCCTCCAAATGACATCTTTGTTATTACATTCTCAGATTCTATACCGTGGCTCATTGTTGCAGAGTATTTCAGCCAAGGGCCTCCAGATGAAATCTCTGTTCTTACATTCTCAGGTTCTACATTGTGGCTCATTGTTGCTGGGTTGTTCAGCCAAGGGCCTCCAAATGACATCTTTGCTCTTACATTCTCAGGTTCTATACCGTGGCTCATTGTTGCCGAGTTGTTCAGCCAAGGGCCCCGGTCTGCTGCTATGTCACTCTCAGTTTTAATCAATTGGGTGGCCAACTTCATTGTGGGATACACATTTCCTCACCTGCAGGTAAACATTTAACATTTATTATGCATTTTTATCTTCACATATCTGAAATCAGACCGGTTAACTATTGCTCCTCCCATGCAGGTTTCTTTACATCCAATCATCATGTACTTTCTTTTCATCCAATCATTATGCACATTCTTTTCTTTTCATCCAATCATCACGTACTTTATTTTCTTAACATCCAATCATTATGTACTTCTTTTCTTTACATCCACTTATCATGCACTTTCTTTTCTTGACATACAATAATCATGCACTTTCTTTTAGTTGCATCCAATCATCATATAATTTCTTTTCTTTACATCCAATCATCATGCACTTTCTTTTCATTACATCCAGTCATCATGTACTTCCTTTTCTTGTACATCCCAATCATAATGTACTTTATTTTCTTTCTTCTTTTTTTCTTTATAAATTTTCATCCATACAAACTCTTAGTTCGTTACCTGCTTGTAGACTTCCCTCGGACACAAACAGTCCATAACCTTTACCTAGTTGCCTCTGGGACTTCATAGGGGCCATGTATGTAGTACGTATGCAAAGAAAAAAGGTTACATTTTCTTCCCCACTTTTGCATGCATACTTTTCGGATGACACCTCCACCCAGTTAAAGTACAAAGAGCTTTCCAAAATCCCCCCCCCCCTCCAATATGTCACATGTTTGCACGTTAGCTTTTTGGAGAGCCCACCATTCCTAGAATATATGCTACATCTCACAGGATTCCACTTGCCCTTGGTCAGGGCCCTGAGAATGGGGCAGCAAGCAACAGGCGCCCAACTCATCTTTAGATGGGACTGTAATAATTAATGAAACAAAAAATCCCATATACTTCACCAAGACAAAGGCTGCTAAAAATCATCTTTAGATAAGACCTTAATTTTGAATTAAACTATAAAATCCCATATCCTTCTTAAAGACAAGGGGCACAAAAAATCATCTTTAGATAGGACCGTAATAGTTAATTAATCTATAAAATACCATATATTTCTGAAAGACAAAAGGTGTTAAAATCATATACGTATATATATGTTTTATTCATTTTACCCAACCCTTTATTTTATTTTGTGCTGTTTATGTATGTTGGTGATGGTAGGTTAGGGTATTTGTATGGTGATGACGGGTTAGGGTATTTGTATGGTGATGATGGTAGGTTAGGGTATTTGTATGGTGATGACGGGTTAGGGTTAGGGTATTTGTATGGTGATGACAGGTTAGGGTTAGGGTATTTGTATGGTGATGACGGTAGGTTAGGGTATTTGTATGGTGATGACGGGTTAGGGTTAGGGTATTTGTATGGTGATGACGGTAGGTTAGGGTATTTGTATGGTGAAGAAGTTTAGGGTTAACGATTATGTATGCTGAAGAAGGTTAGAGTTGGGGTTTATGTATGGTGAAGGTTATAGCTAGGTTTTATGTATGGTGATGAAGTTTGGAGTTAAGGACTATGCATGGTGATGAAGGATAGGGCTAGGGTTTAGAAGGTTAGAGTTAGTGTTTATGCATGGTGGAGAAGGATAGGGCTAGGGTTTAGAAGGTTAGAGTTAGTGTTTATGTATACTTACGAAGGTTGGGGTTAGGCTTTATGTATGGTGAAGAATGTTAGGGTTTGGGTTAAGTATGGTGAAAAAGGGTTTTTTGCAGACATGTTTGAGTTATTTTCTTCCCTTCTGTCACGTTTCCCCTTCCAAGTGTATCTTATTTCTTTTTGTTTAATAGTTGGAAAATTAAAGCTCATATTTTTTGAGAGCTGACGGTAGTTGGGGTATTGTGTTAGAAAATATAAATTTGTGAGGAGTATGGAGGTGGTTGAGATGGTGTTTTATTTAGAACATATAAGTTTTTGTGAGGAGTGTGGAGGTGGTTGAGATGGTGTTTTATTTAGAACATATAAGTTTTTGTGAGGAGTGTGGAGGTGGTTGAGATGGTGTTTTATTTAGAACATATAAGTTTTTGTGAGGAGTGTGGAGGTGGTTGAGATGGTGTTTTATTTAGAACATATAAGTTTTTGTGAGGAGTGTGGAGGTGGTTGAGATGGTGTTTTATTTAGAACATATAAGTTTTTGTGAGGAGTGTGGAGGTGGTTGAGATGGTGTTTTATTTAGAACATATAAGTTTTTGTGAGGAGTGTGGAGGTGGTTGAGATGGTGTTTTATTTAGAACATATACGTTATTGTGTGGAGTGTGGAGGTGGTTGAGATGGTGTTTTATTTAGAACATATAAGTTTTTGTGAGGAGTGTGGAGGTGGTTGAGATGGTGTTTTATTTAGAACATATACGTTATTGTGTGGAGTGTGGAGGTGGTTGAGATGGTGTTTTATTTAGAACATATACGTTATTGTGAGGAGTGTGGAGGTGGTTGAGATGGTGTTTTATTTAGAACATATAAGTTTTTGTGAGCAGTGTGGAGGGGGTTGAGATGGTGTTTTATTTAGAACATATAAGTTTTTGTGAGGAGTGTGGAGGGGGTTGAGATGGTGTTTTATTGAGAACATATAAGTTATTGTGAGGAGTGTGGAGGTGGTTGAGATGGTGTTTTATTGAGAACATATAAGTTATTGTGAGGAGTGTGGAGGTGGTTGAGATGGTGTTTTATTGAGAACATATAAGTTTTTGTGAGGAGTGTGGAGGTGGTTGAGATGGTGTTTTATTTAGAACATATACGTTATTGTGAGGAGTGTGGAGGTGGTTGAGATGGTGTTTTATTGAGAACATATAAGTTTTTGTGAGGTGTGTGGAGGTGGTTGAGATGGTGTTTTATTGAGAACATATACGTTATTGTGAGGAGTGTGGAGGTGGTTGAGATGGTGTTTTATTGAGAACATATAAGTTTTTGTGAGGAGTGTGGAGGGGGTTGAGATGGTTTTTTATTGAGAACATATAAGTTATTGTGAGGAGTGTGGAGGTGGTTGAGATGGTGTTTTATTGAGAACATATAAGTTTTTGTGAGGTGTGTGGAGGTGGTTGAGATGGTGTTTTATTGAGAACATATAAGGGTTCTGTGTTATTGCCATGATTCTATGCTTTCTTTCTTTCTTTTCCATCCATCATCAGGATGCTCTGGGTAACTACACCTTCCTGCCATTCACTGGTTGCCTGGTACTGTTTTGGATCTTTACATTTTTCTATGTACCAGAAACCAAGATGAAAACTTTTGAGGAAGTGAAAGCATTATGGAAGAAAGTGGAAATGGAGAAAAGTGAGTCTGAGGAAAATGAGGGCTCCCACCTTGTAAGTCATTGACTGTGACTAGGTCACAGTGCCCTATGGCTTGTCATCATATTGATCCACGCATTTAATCTGGTGAAGGGATGTCACCTTTTTTCTCAGCCAAATTTTATCTTTGATATTTTGTTTCTTAAATTTTGCATTGTCACTTTGTAAGTAATTATAAATTAATGTTCTTACTAAAGGGGGGAAGGTGGGGTATAATTAATTTTGCGTAAAGCGGCTTAAAAAATTCTCTATTTTTGAAGTTAAGTTTTTACATCAGAGATCATTGGAATTATGAGGTATACAGATTAAAAGCATTGATTCCCCTCTTCCCCCACTTGCGCTCAGGAGCCTTTAACTTCCTCGATCTCTGATCTCTGCCCTCCAAAAGGAAAGTTTTAGCCTGATACCCTTGTATTTTAAAAAAAAATTTATTGTACTTGGAATTTTTGTAAGAATGTCATTAAGTCTGTATGAATGATATTAATTGTGATCAAAATTAACGTTAGGCAAAAAGAATTTATTTAAGTTATTATAAGAAAACCATATATTTAGAATTTATCTAAGTAATCTGTTTATTTAGGCTTTTTTAAGGGGCAAAATACAAATTTTGGGCTAAATTCCCTCAAAGACAGGACAATAAAAGTTTTGGTTAACGACAATAAATAGAAAATAGTTTATAAACTTAAGTGTTTCACATTAATTTTATTGCCGGAAGTTGTGCTTTCCAAAACCAAGATTACAGGAAGTAAAGAGTGCATGTATCAATATGCATCATTACTTTGAAAAATAAGATCTTAACGGACAAAAATATTTTGGAAATATTTGAAAGTAAAATATAAGACATAAGAAAAGAAACTCAGGGAAATGGAGGATCACTAATAGGAGAGTATTTGATTGATTCCATATGGTAATATTGTGCCCTTCTAACTTGCTGGAAATCAGTGCCATGATAAAAATTTAAGGAGGCTAATTTTTTTGGATTTAGTGAATAGGGGCAAGTCCTACAATGTTCACCTAGATTTTAAAGGCAAAATGTGTAATCCAGGTTTTCTATAGAATCCATAGGCAAAGTGTATAATGTCCATGGTATTTCACCTGTAACACATACACATTTGGTCACATACACATTTGGTCACATACACACTTGGCCTGTAACACATACACACTTAATCCTAGCCAATTGAACACAAGTGAAAAAATCACTGAACTTTTTAAAAATCATTTTCTTTTTTTATTCACTGCAATTTCTTTGCTTTTTTATTTTTTTATTATTAGATCACAAGAAAGTTAGGGTTAGGATTAGGTAGCTAGTTATTTGATGATCTCACAAGGCAGTTAGTTAGGGTAAGGGTTAGTTATTTGATGAACTCACTAGGCAGTTAGTTAGGGTAAGGGTTAGTTATTTGATGAACTCACTAGGCAGTTAGGTATATGATGAGTGAGTCTTATTACAGTATTTAAAGTTTTAAGATGTATTACAATTCACTGTCAACATGTGCACGCATGGAGGAAATGATCACTTAAAAGACATTAAATATGAATGAAATGAAGAACACATGGAGGAAATCATCTCTTAAAAGACATTAAATATGAATGAAATGAAGAACACATGGAGGAATGATCACTTAAAAGACATTAAATATGAATGAAATGAAGACTGTTGACAAATGTTGTTTTATCACTTTTGTTTTATATTTGGGCTGTTACTTATATATTAATAGAGTGCTGTATATGTTACATATTAAATAGATGTAATTGAGTCCTGTATGACACCTGTTCATTTTTTTGTGATTTAAAATCTATGTATTTCCAAGTTAATTAACATAAATTCTCAGTCATAAGCCTGTTTGTTCATAAGCCTATACCATAAAATAATAATTTCAAAAGTAGTAGAAGCAATACTGAAAGGTGCTAAAGAAAATAATATATGTTTCTAAACTTCCAAAATAATTATCCTGTCAATAAAAAAATAAAAAACTTTTTTTTTAAATTTAAAAAATTATGTATAACAAAAGGTAATAGAAATACAGTCCCATGTATAACATGTATACTCCATTCACATGTCTTTTTGGCACATGGTATCCATATTGAACATTCCAAAATTATTACCTTGATGATCTACAATAACAATTTGATTATTAAATTTCGGTAAATTGTTAGCCCATCACGGCAGTCGCAAGATATGGACAAAAATGTGTGGCCCAATTTTTAACAGTTCATTTTTGCACACCGCGACTTTGGCAAATTACCTTACATTTTTTTTTCATTCTTTTATAGAATCAATGCATCTGTATTTTTTTCTATTATGGAATCAAAGAACCTGTTTTTTTTTCTTTTATAGAATCAATGAATCTGTATTGTTTTTCTATTATAGAATCCAAAAATCTGGAGAACATTAATAAAATTTCTTTTGCCCCACTAATAAGCCAATCATCCCACTAATAAGCCAATCATCCCACTTATGCCCCTGAAATATTTCACCAAAAGTCGTCTTATGAACAATTATTTATGGTAGATATTTTATTTGATGTTTTAAAGGCACACGCTGACTTGGAAAATTTGTAAATAGAACTATCCAGAATGATCAATGTTAGTGAGCCTTCACAAAAGTAGGCTAAACAATATTTTACTGTCCAATTTAGGGAGCCTTTATAAAAGTAGGCTAAAGAATGTTTGACTCTTAAATTTTAGAGAGCCTTCATAAAATTATGCTAAATAAGGTTTGACTGTTCCATGCTAGAGAGCTTTTATAAAAGTAGGCTAAATAATGTTTGACTGTTCAATTTTAGAGAGCCTTCATAAAAGTATGCTAAATTAGGTTTAAATGTTCCATTTTAGAGAGCCTTCATAAAAGTAGGCTAAATAATGTTTGACTGTCCAATTTAGGGAGCCTTTAAAAAAGTAGGCTCAATAATGTTAAAATGTTAGAGAGCCTTCATAAATGTAGGCTTAATAATGTTTGACTGTTCAATTTTAGAGAGCCTTCATAAAAGTAAGCTAAATAATGTTTGACTGTTAAATTTTATATCGCCTCCATAAAAGTAGGCTAAATAATGTTTGACAGTTCAATTTTATATCGCCTCCATAAGGTAGGCTCAATATATGTAGATATTCTTCCACCCACACCTGCTTATCCAAAGTATTTAAAATTAGCAAAGCTTTAGTGGGTTTTTGTCAATTTTTAATTCTTTATATGTCATCACGCAAATCAAATGACAGGAGTGTCATCTAGGCTAATGTATAAAAAGATGATAATTGATAATTTGACATGCGTCTTCTAATTATTCATAAAAAACAATTTAGTTTGTTGTATTCACACACAAAAAAAAGCCTTATGATATTATTTAGTCCCTCAAATGAAAAGCTTTATGATATTATTTAGTCCCTTAAATGAAACCAAATGAGATGTATCTGTAGTAATGTATTCCATCATTCCATCTTTTGTTTGGTTTACCTCAGGTGACCGGACACCAGAGCCCTCTAGTGGCAGGAACAATAGTCCAGAACAAAAGTGTTAGAACAGTTCCATAGCAGCTGGATTGGTTAAGCAATACTTACTATCACCCTTTAGGGTTTGCCATTAAGGACATCTGCATTCGTCCACAGGCGCATACAGCATTTTACAGTGCCATATACATGGAAGTATAAAGATTATGAAGAACAAAGAGTCACTAGACTTGAAATTGTAAATCAGTTCTGAGTATTATTTGGGTCCAGACATTCATTGTGTGGAAGACGGGTTGTTGATTTTGGAGATGATACATATTTGTGAGTAGGGTGGGGTCTGCAGAAAGTATGTACGAGTGACACTCTAATATCTCAAATAAGGCAGACTTTCATCTAAAAATCTATGAAATCCAAGATATTTTATTTTTTTATTGTCTAAAGAGAAATCAATGCAATGTAATTACATTTTTAGTCATACTGTTGCTGTGTGCTTGGTCATAATGTTGCTGTGTGTTTAGTCAAACTGTTCAGTGTGTATGTATACTTGCTAGGTATCATAATAGTGATAGTTATTCTTAGGTTATTCTGTGCCGGTGATGTTATTTGTGATGTAATTATTTCAATGGGCTAAACAAAACAACAGCACTAAGTGGAAAAAAGTGTGGGGACCCTAGACACAAATTCAACAGGCTTTCAACACTGCTTCCCAAGCTTTTTTTGACCCCATGCAACAGCTGATAATAAAATGTTTTCATCCCCACTCCCCAAATTAGTGGGTTCCAAAGAAAAAAAACTGTTTTTTTGTTTGTTTTTTTTTTTTGCTGCCTTAAAAAATAGTGAGTTTTAATTGTGCTGCCATTTCAGGACTTAAGATTGACAGATTGTAGGATAAAACTAACAAAAATAAGTGAGTAATATTTTATTGCCGTTTGCAATATATGAAAAACAATGAAATAAAGTGCTGCACAGGGCGGACTGCTTCTTAACCCCACCCTCCCACCCCATTGTCCTATGTATGCTACTGTCCAAGAGTCCACCCACATTGTGCTATGCTACTGTCCCAGAGTCAACCCCTTTGTCCTTTGCTACTGCCCTTGAGTCCACCCACATTGTCCTATGCTACTGTCCCAGAGTCCATCCCCATTGTCCTATGCTATGGTCCCAGAGTCCACCCACATTGTCCTGTGCTACTGTCCCAGAGTCCACCCCCATTGTCCTATGCTACGGTCCCAGAACCCACCCCCATTGTCCTATGCTACTGTCCCAGGCTCCACCCACATTATCCTATGCTACTGTCCCAGAGTCCACCCCATTGTCCTATGCTACTGTCCCAGAGTCCACCCCAATTGTCCTATGCTACTGTCCCAGAGTCCACCCCAATGTCCCATGCTACCGTTCCAGAGTCCACCCCCATTGTCCTATGCTACGGTCCCAGAACCCACCCCCATTGTCCTATGCTACTGTCCCAGGCTCCACCCACATTATCCTATGCTACTGTCCCAGAGTCCACCCCATTGTCCTATGCTACTGCCCTTGAGTCCACCCACATTGTTCTATGCTACTGTCCCAGAGTCCACCCCCATTGTCCTATGCTACTGTCCCAGTGTCCACCCCCATTGTCATATGCTACTGCCCTTGAGTTCATGCCAAATGTCTTATGCTACTGTCCCAGAGTCCACCCCATTGTCCTATGCTACTGCCCTGGAGTCCACCTACATTGTCCAATGCTACTGTCCCAGAGTCCACCCACATTGTCCTATGCTACTGCCCTTGAGTTCATGCCAATTGTCCTATGCTACTGTCCCAGAGTCGACCCCCATTGTCCTATGCTACTGTCCCAGAGTCCACCCCCATTGTCCTATGCTACTGTCGCAGAGTCCACCCCCATTGTCCTATGCTACTGTCCCAGAGTCCACCCACATTATCCTATGCTACTGTCCCAGAGTCCACCCCATTGTCCTATGCTACTGTCCCAGAGTCCACCCCCATTGTCATATGCTACTGTCCCAGAGCCCACACACATTGTCCTATGCTACTGTTCCAGAGTCAACCCAATTGTCCTATGCTACACTCCCAGAGTCCACTCAATTGTCCTGTGCTACTTTCCCAGAGTCCGCCCAAATGATATGCTACTTTCCCAGAGTTCACCTTATTGTCCTATGCTACTTTCCCAGAGTCCACCCAATTGCCCTATGCTACTGCCCTGGAGTCCAGCCCATTGTCCTATGCTACTGTCCAAGAGTCCAATCCCATTGTCCTATGTTACTGTCATAGAGGCCAACCCCATTGTCCTATGCTACTGTCCCAGACTCCACCCACATTGTCCTATGCTACCGTCCCAGACTCCACCCCCTTGTCCTATGCTACTGTCCAAGGGTCCACCCACACTGTCCTATGCTGCTGATCCAGAGACTGTCCCAGAGTCCACCCCATTGTCCTATGCTACTGCCCTTGAGTCCACCCACATTGTTCTATGCTACTGTCCCAGAGTCCACCCCCATTGTCCTATGCTACTGTCCCAGTGTCCACCCCCATTGTCCTATGCTACTGCCCTTGAGTTCATGCCAATTGTCCTCTGCTACTGTCCCAGAGTCCACCCCATTGTCCTATGCTACTGCCCTGGAGTCCACCCACATTGTCCAATGCTACTGTCCCAGAGTCCACCCACATTGTCCTATGCTACTGCCCTTGAGTTCATGCCAATTGTCCTATGCTACTGTCCCAGAGTCCAACCCCATTGTCCTATGCTACTGTCCCAGAGTCCACCCACATTATCCTATGCTACTGTCCCAGAGTCCACCCCATTGTCCAATGCTACTGTCCCAGAGTCCACCCCCATTGTCATATGCTACTGTCCCAGAGCCCACACACATTGTCCTATGCTACTGTTCCAGAGTCAACCCAATTGTCCTATGCTACACTCCCAGAGTCCACTCAATTGTCCTGTGCTACTTTCCCAGAGTCCGCCCAATTGTCCTATGCTACTTTCCCAGAGTTCACCTTATTGTCCTATGCTAATTTCCCAGAGTCCACCCAATTGCCCTATGCTACTGCCCTGGAGTCCAGCCCATTGTCCTATGCTACTGTCCAAGAGTCCAATCCCATTGTCCTATGTTACTGTCACAGAGGCCAACCCCATTGTCCTATGCTACTGTTCCAGAGCCCACCCCCATTGTCCTATGTTACTGCCCCAGAGTCCACCCACATTGTCCTATGCTACTGTCCCAGACTCCACCCACATTGTCCTATGCTACCGTCCCAGAGTCCACCCCCATTGTCCTATGCTACTGTCCCAGAGTCCACCCCCATTGTCCTTTGCTACTGTCCCAGAGATTATTAGATGTCCTATAATCTACATAAAGGTTTATAAATATTTGGGGGGGGGGGCTGAGAGCTCATTGTACTTTGGCATAATGGAGGTGCCCCAAACACGGAGGGGTGCCTTAAACAAGGATGGATGCCCCAAATAAAGATGGATGCCCCAATGGGGTGTTTGTATTACATGGATGGCCTTTAAAATATATCATTCGATTTAAGTCAGAGGAACAACTTGCATTGTTAACATTCGTTGATTAATATCGTTACTAAATTCTTGCTTAAACTAATTTTTTTTTTTTTATTCATGATTATAATTTTTTTTCAAAATTTCGTTGTTTGTAAAGCGACTTGTAACAAAAAAAGAAAAACCTAGCTTGTGGATGTCTACAAAATCCTTCCCTCCCTCCCTTCCCCTATTTCTTTGGCTGTCCTCTATGGACGACCTCTTAGTAAGTCACTGCTACAGATTTTAACCAGTCAATTTAGAGTTCGGCTACCACAGAAGAACTGAAGAGGGTATGGCTGCTGTTTCAATTCATTAACCAGTGCCACATGTAAATGTAGTAACTCAGATCAGGTAGCCTGTGTTTCAAAATGTTTACTTTAAATAATAGTACTGGTATATGACCGTCTAGTTTTTCTCGTTTGTAATAATTTAAAAAATCAAGCAGTTATTTAAAATTCATAAATATGCATGTCCTATTTATTCATGTTTTGTCATTTTACTGTGTTACAAGATTACAGATGGTTTTTTTTTGGTGGTTTTTTTTTTACAATGAAGAAAAAATTTATTGCAGATTTATGATCTATTTGATTTCATAAAATGATAAAATGACTGACTTTGTTTTAAATTATCGTACATCAAGTTGGACAAAATCATTTCATAAAGCATATTGTTTCTTGATGAAGTTACCTTGAATTTTGTGGAAATGAACATTGGCAGATTGTGACTTTAGTATTCATAGACCGGTATATGAGACCACAATCTATTGCAAATATTTTCTGTTCATATTTATTTATGACCAAAAACCTCCTTTTTTAATTTTATTATTTTTTTTATTTTTTTTTGGAGAAAAAAAACCAGTGATGTGACTTTCCCTATTTGAGAGGTCTCTCAGGACAGTATTCACATGGATTTTAAACTAATCACAACTAACTTTATTGTTATGTGAATTGGTTATGGTTAGGGTTAAGAAGATCACAACTAATTTTATTGCTATTGTAAAACTGGTTGAGAAGATCACCACTAACTTTATAGTTACTATACGTGAAGTCTGGTCTCTGAATAAAAGAGAAATCTGTGACCACAAAGTGGAGTTGAAGCGTAAAATAAAAATGTCATTCTTATCTGTTAATTCACATCGATTTTTCAGTACCTGTAGAAAATTTGTACTTTATAACATAATATAGATTCTTTTTTTTTTTCACACAGTAAAACTTGACCAACTCCAATTTCTTGCATTATAAATGTTTATACTTTATTACATTCAATTTCTAGTTGTACTGGTGGTGTAAATACTTCACTATTTCATTAACAACATATTATATTCACCAAAGTTAAGGGGAACCACTTATATTGCTTTTCAATATTTTGTTTGAGAAAAGTCCTCAAATAGTTTGTTTTATCCAATAGGAAAGTGTCTTAATATTAGGCATCTTTATTGCAGGTCTTTTTTTATTTAATAATTTATTATATTTCTAAACCTGTGTTAGGCCCCAAAAGGTAATCCTTCCTTTACTTTATAAGCCTATTGGAATTATATTTCTAAACCTGTGTTAGGCCTCAAAAAATAATACTTCCTTTACTTTACTATTAGCCTATTGGAATTATATTTCTAAACTTGTGTTAGGCCCCAAAAGGTAATCCTTCCTTTACTTTATTATTAGCCTATTGGAATTATATTTCTAAACCTGTGTTAGGCCTCAAAAGGTAATACTTCCTTTACTTTATTATTAGCCTATTGGAATTTTATTTCTAAACCTGTGTTAGGCCCCAAAAGGTAATACTTCCTTTACTTTATTATTAGCCTATTGGAATTATATTTCTAAACCTGTGTTAGGCCCCAAAAGGTTGTGAAAAAAGTTGTGACAGAGAACAGACAGCTTGTAATCGATGCGTGCCTGTATAGGGAGCCAATGAAGTGAGTGAAGTAGTACAGTGACGTGATCCTGTTTCTTTGCCTTTAGAACTAGCCTAGCAGCCGAGTTTTGAACTTTCTGCAGTTTTTATATGAAATATGGTTTCAGATGTGTTTCATGCCAGTGACCATCAATCTAATTGTTTTCACTATTGCACTGAAAAGAATTGTAAGCAAATTTGGAAGACACTTGTCACTATTGGCCTCTTGGTAACTGTCTTTACATCAAACTATTACTTGGCAGATTAGGGGTAATATTCCAAGACTAAAATCATTAGTACAATTTAATTACGATTTTAGGATAAGTACAATATAAGTACCCGGGTATGTTTTTTAGGATCAGTACAATTTAATTATGATTTTAGGATAAGTACAATTTAAGTACTGGGGTATGTTTTTAGGATAAGTACAATTTAAGAAAGTTTTAGGATAAGTACAATTTAAGAACATTTGTATTTTTAATGAATTTTTTGTAGCATATTTAAAAATTGAAAGTTATTAGTAACAATAATTTAAACAGGGCAAAATTAATTATTACCATACCGGTATTGTTTTTACTTTCATCAAGATTCTTAGATCAGAAAGCTTTTGTTAATTTATACGTAATTCTTGTAATGCATTGTAATAATCATATTCTATTAATCATGGCAAAATTATATTTAAGTAATAGTAATAATGTTTCTTATTGGAAGAGCATTTATTAAAAATCTTTTTTTTTTAAATATTTGTCTGGTATTTGTCTTGCAATGAGCCTAAGACACATCATGTAGGGTAAGCCAAAGTGTGTCAAAGTGTCCTCGTTTTATTGCCATTTTCATTGTTTCTATGGTATAGTAGTTACTATCCTAGTGTCTCCTTTTTATTTTACTTAGTTTACATGTTTTTCATAATTGTAAAGCGCTTAGAGCTTTATGGTAAGCGCTATATAAAAATGCCTAAATAAATAAATAAGCAGCGATTGTTCATAAAGGACATCCAAAGATGAGGAGAAAGGGGAGGGGGGGAGGGGGGGGGGGGCTTGTTCAAATGTGGAAAACCGTAAACAAGGAGTGAAGGAGGGTCAATCATTCATTGTTATAATTGTTGCTTTAGTCCCACTTCCAATACCCGGTACGCCATAATGTTTAAAATTGTGCTACAACATGAAATAATTATTATGATATTTGAAAAAATACTGTTTTTAGACTTTGAAATAGTAAATCTTTGAATGAGTGGGGTAAGAATTTCAAGTAGAAACTATGAAATAAAAAAGATTTTAATAGAATTGAGGGGTAAGCAATACAAGCAGATTGGAAGGTGACTGAAGAATGGTGAAGCATGTTTAGTCCAGTAAAATTGAATAATTTGTTTGTTGTTTTGTTGGGTCACACTCTATCACATACTGTACCAGTATTGTTACTGCAACTTTCTTAAAAATTAATGTCTTTTTTTTTTCTTCAAATTTTAAAAAGAGACAGTAAAAAATTTTCAAGAGGGACAAAAGTATAGAAAAATGTTAATAGCTTAGCCTCTATGACAAAAATGCAGTTGATTTATTCATTTTTTGTCTATTCTTATTTAGAGGATTGGGGGAGCCATCATTTTTTTTAAATACCCGGTACCTGTACCATTAAAAAATACAATTTTGACTTCATTGTTTGAAAAACAGTACCACAGACAACTACCCTCCTTTATATTGAAAGATGTTCAAAATAATAAAATACATTAAGACTTCAAAGTTCAAAATGTTAAAGATACGTACAAATTGCATAAATATTTACTATGCAATGGTGGGGAGAGGAGGGCAGAGCAAGAGGGAGACCGGTGTTAGTGGCTGGCCCCATTGTGACCATTTTTCCAAAAGTGGGTCCCTTTTCAAGGGATAAATAATTTTTATTTTCTGTTTGATGACAAAAACAATGTTTTTGTTGAAATTACCAAGGTGTAAAATACAGGCTTTGTTTCCAACAGTAAGATTTTTTTTAAAATTACATTTGTAAAATTATATTATTTTATACATAATTAATAATTAGGGGCCGTTCATTAAGTACATCATTCTCCAGAGGGCAGTCTTGGAATGAAATTGACAGTGAAGTCAAACTTAATTTTGTGGTCGCTATATTTGACAGAAGATGTCACTTTTATAGATTTAATAGTAACTGCGTTTTAGATTAATGGTACAGTTTAATTAGCTGTTAATTTTTACAAATCGTTTGGTTCAAAAGGGTGATGAACTTGAGAGGGGCTGGGGGTAAAAATTGTCCAAAAATAGTGTGATGTACTTTATAGACAGCTACTTAATGTCAAAGTTTCAAAAAAAGAATTATAAAACTAAGATGCTTCACCAAAATCGGTCTTAAATACATACAAAAAATATAGACATTTTCACTCTACATTTAGCTAGTTTCACTTTATTTTTCCCCCAAGACAAAAATTTTTTTGTATTTATTCCTCTAAATCTAAATCCTTTACTGAAAGCATACGGGACATTATACTATTTATACTTCATAATCATATCTACAAATGGTCGTTTCAACTTAACCACATAACATGTGTTAACATTTCAAAGACAGATTGACAAAGACTTTTATATTTTAGCTATGGTTGGAAGATTTAGCTTAGTGTATAGGAATCTTTATGAACATAAACCATAATTTTACACATGAACTAGTTTTACATAAATTAACATATGAACTAGTTTAACATATGAACTAGTTTTACATAAATTAGCTGATGAACTAGTTTTATATTCAGCTAGCAATTGCACTACTGCCACGGTGCCCTCCGATGCCTTCAATGGTGACAGCAGCTCAGAACCTGAAGAGGAAACCTATAGAAGTAGCTTCGAAAACCACAGTAGATCAGTGTTCTATTCTCATTTGGGTGAGGAGGCTCTGGTTTAAATAAACTAGTTTTACATAATTTTGCATATGTAATAGTTTATGTCCCATAATCTCATTTCAATATTCATAAATACAGTCTTGAACTCTTCATTTGGTACAAGTACCAAATCCAAACTTCAATCTGTGCCAAAATGTACTCCAAATTGTACCCTGGTACAAGATTAGAGCAAGACATGTGGGACTGAAATTATGATCACTGAATATATCTTACAAGAT